TCATCTGAGCGGGGAAATTCCAATGCAAGTTTCAGGTCTTACATATCTTTCATTCTTGAACCTGTCTTACAACATGCTAGTTGGAATGATACCCTCGGGTAGACAGATGCATACATTTACAGAAAGCAGCTTTCTAGGAAACAGTGGATTATGTGGTTTTGCTGTCAACAGATCATGCAATTCTTCCTCTCCACCAGAATTTCGATTTCTATTTCCATTTCCATCTCGAGTTTCTAAGAGCGACTTCTGCATTAGTGCTGCTATAGGATTTGTTGCTAGCCTGGTAGTCATGTACTTGTCACTTCTGTTCAATAAAAAGTGGAAGACTAGGTATAACTACCATCTTGACAGATTTGTAATGAAAATTCTTGGACAGCGAGGCCGGCGAAGGCGACTAGCAGGGGAAATGAGTATTAGTAATAGTTGTCTATAGGTAGACTTCTTGTCCATGACCTCTTCAATTCATGCTTTTGAATCTTCCAATTGTAAACTAAGAGTATCTTTTATACCTTGTTCTTCTTTCCGTATTATATAGTTAAACGCTAAATCAATGTATTCACCACAGTAACATTATAAAAGAACACAAAAAAAAACTTACTCCATCCGTCTCAAAATAAGATTCATGTTTTCTATAATGAATTAATGCAATCATCTGACAGAGGGAGTAATATTTATTATATATAACTAAATGTTAAACCCGTCCGATGGACGGAGCAGAAAGATTATCGTGGAAACAAAATTTGATATTAAAAATAAAAGTTTGACCAAATTAAAAATAAATTACATAGTTATAATTGGTTCTTTTGTTATTCGTTTTCTGTCTTCACCATATATTAAAATTTTAAGTCCTTCTCTTAATGTAAATCTGGAAAGAATAATGAACTACAGTCGAAAATCGAATGTGGTATATATAAATTTCAATTTGGGAAAAGAGACTGTTTTCTAACTAATATTAATTGTCATTGTGAAATAAAGAGCAATTGAAAGTTGTCTTCTCTTTATTGTAAATGGAAATTTGGTTTCAGAGGTGCACAAGATATGCAAGAAATGCGTACTTCTTCTCCGACATGGCTGTCCGAGATAACTTTTGCCTCCATGGCACGTCATCTCAACGCTACGTTTTAATGTCTAGTAGCATTACATAATTCACCCTGCTGATCAACATTCCCCAACAACATAGTGGCTATCTAGAATATTGGCATTATTGAGAAAATCAGGAGTGAACATTGTGTCTTTAATATTTACCCCACTTATTCTAGCTAGCAATGATGTTTGAGCTCAAGTACACAACCTCTTCTTCTGGTAACTTGTTCAATAGGTGCTCATTTATGGTATCGACGACTGTATAGACTGGATTGCTATCATTTTTGATATATATATCCTCAGGAAGTTTAGTTTAAGCAAAGCCACGGTTTGTTTTTTATGTTTGTATTTTTTGTGAATAGAAATTTTAAGTTTAATAATATTAAATTTTTTTTATATCCAAAATTTAATTTTTATTTATAGAGTGCACATATATGTAATATATAAAAGTTTTAGATTTTTTCTACGGTATTATTTTGATTAGTTGTTTACAGAATAATATCATGTTTATAAATTAAATTTTGTTGTTCCCAAATATAAATAGTTCAAAAGTACTACATCTTATAAATTACTTACTTTCCACCCAATAAGGTGCCTTAGTAATTGTTAAAGCAATTTGAATTTTTTTTTGCTAACATTCCTATCAGTTGAGGTGTCTTGGTCCCACTCGTTGAGGCGATTTAGTCGTTTGTCCCACCCATTATTGTGCCTTAGTCATTATTAGAGTAGTCTTTTAACTCTTCATCAGATGTCCCTATCCGTTGAGTTGCCTAAGTTCTACCTGTTAAATTGCATTAGTGATTGTTAGAACAAGTTTAAATTTTTTTTAACCAGATGTTATCATTTCAACGTGAGGGAAACTAATGTCTTGTGGATTATTATTTAAGAATTCACTATGACACACCTACTGATGTGTTCATAGGTTAGAGGGAGACTAACCATTATTACCAAATGTAGATATGTGATATTTAGAAAGAAAAAATTTATTTTCCAGTTCTTTAGTTGTTTATCTTTTTTCTCAATAAAGTGTACATCATCATTGGTATGCTTTTACTTTATCATATTATTTTACATGTCATATATCGTGTTAATCTTACCATGAGAAAATATGCATTATGTTTTTGTTTTACATCACTTTCCATTTTTATAAACATATTATTTTATACGTGTAACTTATTTAAAGATAAATTTCTCTGAGTCAGGTTTAACATATAGTTTTGTATGAACACAAAAATGTTAAGCATAAAAAGAATACCACTTCCTCCAGTCTTTATTATAAAGTATTTTTAAAACAATTTGTTGGTCCGATTTATTAGATATTTAATATCTTAAGATTTCATTTGTAATGTATTTCCTACTTTTTTCCCAACTTAAACCGTCTAAAATTTAAATTGAAACATAGACTACTTTTTCAAACAGTAGTAATATTATTTTTAGTACAACAAACATGACTTTCGTTTCGGAATTGTTCGTATTATAATTACTTCCTATGTGTCTAAGGTGAGAATTGTTTAAAAATATTACAGATTTCAAAACTTAATGTAAACTATTTTTTTAGACAGAAGAGTATAATATAGTTAATTAACTCGTTTATTTATTTATGTATGTGTCTTACACTATCCATTTAATTTTTGCCCTTCAACCCATTTATGCATAGTTTTAATTTGAATTATAAAGGTAGAACTATGATACCTTTTTCCTCAATAATATCATGCAACAATTGTTTTTTAGTTTTTTACCCACTCATTACTTTGTTTGAAATGTTTTACGTTCTCATTTAATCATCTATTTTACCTTAACTCTACCCGTTTAAAGAGATTTTGCATTTAGAACATAATGGTCGATATATTTTCTGTCTTAATAATATTATCAAATCCATTGAAAATGACAATAAAATATATCAGCCAAAAATAATTATTTTAAAAAGGAATAATGTTCCGTGATGATCCAACTCTGATAGTGAAGAACAAAACACAAAAGTCTATCAGGGTATATTTGTTCTTTCTTTTTAGATTTTTTTTTTGTTAGAAATGTGAGCATATGTATTAAGAATGTGAAAAGATGTATTCCAATAAAAAACATAAACACTACTAAATACCAAAAATAAAAAAATCCTTATAAAATCTTAATCTCCTTGTTTATATTTGTAGAGTTTTACAATGGCACTCATCAGTTCCCCAATTCCATTATTAGATTTCCTTGGACAAATCCTCTTGATGTAAGAGTAGGGTGCCTATAACATCAACAAAGCTTAAGCCAAAATAAAGAATTGCAAAAAAATTATCTCATGCATTAGAATTCAACAGGAAGTACCCGGACGACAAAATGACATGAGTAAATAATGGCCAAAATTCTGCCCGACCATTCTGATAGTACTGACGTGGTCATAAAATTCATTTGAAAAATAAAAATTTATTTATTTCTTACAATTTTCATCCAATTTAATTTTTCATTCAAATTAAAGTAGAGCATGCAACGATTACGAAAATTCATTAATTTTGGTTGTAAAGAGAACCAATATACTGTATGTATAGGAGAGGTTTTCTCATTTTAAAAAAATGTAAAACACTTATTAAAAGACTTCTTAATGTTCAACCTGAAAAATTATAAACACTTATTTTTGGTTGTCTAATCAAAGAAAGAAACACAACATACTTATATGACCATAAGCGAAGTATAAAACTAATGAAACATCCCTCGCATCAGAAACAATGCTCGAAGTTCGTGTGTAATGTTGAAGGAATCCCGTATTTTCTCACTAATTTTTTCATCTTTTGAAGGCGTTCTCTTTTGTTAATTATACTTATGTTGTTCAACCTTTCAACAAACAAAAGGGGAAGAAAAAGGAAGAGGGAATGCGGTAGTAGAAAATATGGGGAAGTGTTATTTGAGAGATAGACTAAATCTCATAACTTATAATAATCATTCTAATTTTTTTATCTCAATATAACAAATTTATAGAGATAATTTACAAAAATGACCATGTGCAAAATCTTGTTTATTTGAAGAAATTCCATACGCCAAAAGAAAACTTCTTACCAGAATTCCCAGGATTTAAAGTCATGCTAGTACCTAAATAGAAATTATGCAGATGATACTAATGATAAAAAATAAAAAAAATTACATAATTGAATAAATGCTATAAAATAATATTAAAAAGCATCCTTTTTCGTATCAATAAGAATGTAGATGCGTAACCAAAAGAAGAAATCATCAAAAGAGGAAAACCATATCAAAATGATGCTAAACACATAGTCATTGTGAAAGAAACCATCATCCTTCATCAACTTCTGCAACAAAAAAAAAAAAAAAACAACAACAACAACAACAAAAGAAGATATCAAATCATTACATTTGAATTGGAAAAAAAAAATTCTCCGGTTCAAGCAAGGGTATGATGGTGATGCCCTTTTATAGTATTACTTGCCATAATTTTTAGAGAGAGTACGATAAAATTAACGTCAGTGGATTGAAATGACAAATAAGATAAGAAATTAATGTTAGTTATATTCAAATTCGAATGCTATCCTCATTGAAAATCTGAATGCGTATTTGATGCCCTATATATCTTAGGTATCTATTGGATTTGTTTTTAGAAATATCCGGGGGAGTGTGACAATTCATAGCTAATTGGAATTACCAAATGGCTAAATTAGTTAGAATAATTGGTTCAAAGCTGAAAGATATTTGCATTAGATGAGATACAGTTGACCTGAAATAAGTTAGTTATAATCTTTTAAGGTTAATAGTAATGTGATTTAAAACTTTAAACTGTGGTTTGAGTTTTGATTGAGGAGTTGTTTCGATTGAGTTTTGAGCGGAGCTGTTTTTGTCGGATGAGTTACAATTTAAGTAAAATACTAAATAATTATACCAATTGAGTTTATTAACCGAAGATAAATTTTTTTTTCTTTTTTAATAAATAAAAAATGAAGAAAATTCCTAGTCCTACGTGCCAAGTAGAAAACTATCTCAGTTTCCTCTCTCTAGGTTTTCTATTATTAAGTTATATAGATGGCAAATTAAGTACATTAACATTTTTAAAAGATGAACAGATTACTAACATAACAAAACATGAATGCTTCATATCTTGTTGAGTTTAGCAAGAAGAAAGACAGTTGCAGAAGTGATCCCCGGGATGAATATCTCATTGGGTATTGCTTTTGGGATTATACGTTGCTTGAAGAACAATGCAGTGACTGGGACCGCAAACATGTAGAATAATGTGTCCTTTGCTCCAACACCAGTAACTCCTGTATCAAGAATCACTTCTTGGAGGATCTTCTGGAATTCTTCTTTTGTTAAAGCTTTGCCCTTGCCTTGGTGATGTTTCTGAAAAATCAAGTAACATAGGTATCATGATGATGAAATTTTTGTTGATGTGTTTCTAAAGGATGGGACAATATTTTTGGGACGGAAATAATATAAAGACGTCTTTCTAACGGATAGGACAATATTTTTGGGACGGAAATAATATAAAAGAAGTACTAAATTGTTTGGATCATCCTTTACCTCAATGTACATATGCAACATACCAATCCATATCGCTCCCTTATAGTAGAAATTTCTAATCAGTTCTCAAATTTAAATTATCTTGTGATAAAGACACTACAATAAATTCAATCTGCCAATTTTAGTGCAATTTCTTATAGTAGTAAACACTGATTTTGACTCTAGGATCAAATCAGCGGCCCTCAAAATGGAGGGTTTGGTACATCCACCATTGCAAAACAAAAGTCACGCTAGTTATATAAAGAAAAAAAATAGTTGAACTAAAATGATTTTTTTTTTCCATTTAGATTGAAGAGTTGTATAAAACATTTCAAATGAGGGAGCAATCATTTGCCAATAAAGAGGAAAAAATAACCATCTAAGTTGATTTCACCTGGTTATTGTCATATATATAGTTTCTTTTTTCAAAACAAACTAAATTTGATCTTTTTCTTCCTTTTTTTTTTTTTTTAGTGAAATGAGAGGGCATGGACTCTTTTAGTGTAGAATACAAAATATATCGTGTCGTGATGACCGATAACAGATTCCAATAACGTCATGATGAAATCGTAATTACCATATATACTAGGTCGTCTTATTAAAAAAAAAAAACAAACAAACAAACACAACTCTCACATTATAATACTCCTCATCTTGTACAGAAAATTGGAGGAAGCTTACTTGATATGCTTGCTGAAGTGTTGTTTTCTGTGGCACCCTTAACTGTGTGCTACCGATCTTTTTGTTTATTTCTCTGTCAATAACATTCAAGATATTTAACAAATTAACTAACCAAAATATATATTACCATTTCATGCTAGCAGTAAGCTACTGGATCCAATTAATCTCTCACGCTTTCAAACAATAAGATTCTTAATTCACTATTTGTTAACAATTTGGATATATGAAAATTAATACATATTAAATTAAATTCCTTTTTTTAAAACAATTAAGAATCATAAAATGTGTTGGAGAAATAAATGAAAAAAAGATATCATACTCGACAGTCAAGCAAACAGCTTGGTAGAAGTCATCCATTCCCCAATCGCTGGTGTTGACAAAAAATTTATCGTAACATTCTTCTATGACCGGACCAATTTCACTTATCTTTTTCTCATCACCTCCTACACATTAATTGCAAACAAACCATTTAATAAAAACAAAATCAGCCCCAATGAACTAAAGGGAACGAAAAATGGTCACAAAAAAAAAAAAGAAGAAGAAGAAGAAGAGCAAGAGAGACAGAACCAACCAAATTTATTGAGAGATTGTCCCATCTCGATGGAGCAAAATACTGTTGGTTATTGGTTTGCTACTGATTAACAATTGGATAGATGTCAAGAAGAGTTGAATGTTTTATTTGTGATAAATGATTAAATGAAGAATGGCAAGAAAGAAGAAAAAGGAAAGAGAGAATTTTGGGTTGCTTGTTAGTGAGGGAAATCTAACTAAATAATACATTTTGGTTGCTTCTTGTAATTTTAGCATGCTGTAGTACAACGTGCATCACTAGCTTAAGTTGGAGGCTAAAGAAAAGGTTTGCTTAGGGTTTGGATTAGGGAATTATGAAAACCTTCGCCGAAGTATTTGGATACTTTCTTTCAATTTAGACCCTTTTTTTTTTTATAGAAGAAATGTATCAGAACAAAAAGAAAAATTATATGTAAATTAAGATCTTCTGGATAATACACAAAGAACCAATCTAGTTTAAAAAGCACATAAATATGTAAAATTGATGAAAAACAATGACATTACGAGCGTTGTGTGAACATCAAATATTACAAAACGATGATTATCGTGCCGGATTTTTGTAATATTTCCTTTTTTCCGTCTGTGCTTTTCTTCCATCACCGTTGTGTGGGGGTGAATTCTTGATTTTATGAAATTATTTTTTAAGTGACAAATTGCTTAACATCCGTGCATTTTCAAATCTTTCTATGTGTCTCCTTTGCCCTTTGGTATGTCCAAGAACCAAGTCACTAGGAGTGCCTTTTAGCTATATTCTTCCATCTCACTTTTATTTTCTTTTTAATTGTTTTTTCATAATCTTTTCCCGCTTTTTCTTTTTGCCATTCTACCATCAAATTAAGAATCCAATTCTTAACGAGAAGAAGAAATGACACTCTTTCAGTCTCCACTTCCATTACTGTTATTCATTCCAACTCCTAGGAAGTGCAAAGAACATCTACATGCATTTCTAACTCTTGTAAAAATCATGGACGGATTAAGGTTGATTGAAGCAGCATACGAAGGAGATGTTGCATCCCTTTCTCAGTTACTTCAAGAAAAGCCAAATCTCATTTACAGAAACTATCTGAATAGTGAAGATAAGAATATTCTCCACATTAGTGCAATGTTGGGTCATGAAGAATTTGTGAAAGCAATCCTTGTACAAGCAAATTTTCCTTCTTTTTACTACATGAGTTTGGCTTGGGATCGCGATGGCAGAAACCCTCTACATCTTGCTGCAATCCATGGCAAGTTGAACATCTTGAATTTGGTATATCATCACGATGGGCTCATGCAAGCAGCCTTAGAGAAGGCAGATCGTGGAGATACCATTTTACATTTGTGTTTCAGGTATAATCAACTGGAGGCTCTCAAATTACTGTTGCAAATTTTTCCCGATCCGTTCTTTGCAGGACAGCAGGAGGCATAAATGAAGACCGTATGAACATAGTAAATCTGTCCTTCCACCTTAACCAAAATCAGGTATCCATGATCCAAGTTTTAGATCAGTGCATATATATACTACCTCTACTTTATTTATCTGTCATGCATCCAACATTTTTTTCTTTTTAATTTGTCGTTCTTCATTTCAATACATGATTAAATATATTTTAAAATTAAATGTACATGATTTAATTTGTCGTTCTTCACTTAAGTTGTGGCCGTAAAATTCATTTAGGCTGTCGGATTGAGGCCTATCGATGGAGGAGATTTCATCCGGGGATGAATATTTTCACTTAACATTTTCATTCAATATTTTTCATATGAATATTTTTGTCCTAAAGACTTTTATTCAAGTATTAGGATTAGGATAACAACTACTTATTTTTTACTTCAATTTCAAATTGTTACGTAATTCACATACTTTTTATACAGGGACAAGAAAGGTATTACACTTGCAAATTCCAATCATTGTTTTGTTAGTATTTTCGGATTCTCTAACGACAAAAAGAAATATAACGGTAGTATATATTTAGCCGTTCTGCGAGCTAATTTCATACAATCCATATGCAGAGGAGGCGGGAAATGATAATTTACTTGTTAGAAAACAAGCTCGTAAGTCGTAAGTGTCAACTGGAGGGATGTAAATGGGTTAACTCCCTTGGACCTTTTCCTGTCTCAGACCGGAATGTCATTCCAAACCTATGTAAGAACAGAAAGTTTTTCACAACCGGGAGCCGAAGGATCAATACATCATTTACTTCGTAAGAATGGAGCGTCAACTGGTTTTTCTTTAAAGATGATGGAAGCAAACAAAGGAATGTTTCAATTTGTGGATGCTAGTAAAGATGCAATCATGGTTGTCGCGTCGCTTATTGCGAGCATGGCTTTTCAAGCTATGGTCAGCCCTCCCGGCGGCGTTTGGCAAGATGATGACTTACCGGAAAAAAGGCGGTTCGAATCATCCGGGTAGAGTTGGACAAAGTGTGACGGCGCAAACTCATCCAGCCCTTTACTGGCAGCTGATTCGATCTAATACCATAGCCTTTGCATCATCATTGACAACCATTCGATCGGCATTTATGTTTTGTCTATTGATCATCGCAATGTGGTTGTCGATGACAGCGATTTCGGTTGCTTATGCAACATCACTTGTGATGATAACACCCAAATCACTAAGTGAACATGATTTGGGTGAACCGGACAAGATTGCGGTCATTGTGATCATGTCTGGTGTCTTCCCCTCATATCTCTCTTATGTAAAATCCTTAAATGGGTTACACATAGAATAGAAGATTCCGATTGATTTTACTTTTTTTATATACTATATTTTTTTTCCTTATTTTATTGATGATGCGGATCTCATTTTTATCTTTAATCTTTTTTGTGTTTTTGTTTTTGTTTTTTTTTTTTTTTTTGGCTTTTGGTATCCATTTAATTGTCATTTTACGATGATGGTTACTGGTCTAGTACTTAATTAGATTTGCCATTTGCAACAACAGTATTGAACCAATGTGTCCCAACTCAGAATTTGGATCTAATTGGCAGCGCCGACGCTTAATCTAAGGGGGGAGAGAAGGTTAATTATAAAAGAATGATAAATAAGGCAAAACGAGTTACAACTAAGCTAACTAACTTTAACCAAAGTGAGATAATATGTTCCATCCGTCTCAAAAAAAAAAGAACAAAGATTTACGTAAACTTTTGAGATTTGGATGAAGGAGAAATGAAATGTTTGCTAAATTGGCTTACATCTTAATATCAAAAGTCTATCTAAAAGGGTTCCAAAAATTTAAATTTTAACTTTTACTAATTTTAGTAAAAATCTCAAAATTAAATGTGATTTATTTATTTATTTATTTTTGGACGGAAAGAGTATCACATTTTTTTGGACATTTTTTCCCCAATTTCTAACGTGATAACGAACTCTATCATCATTTGCGGAGAAAAGTATTCAGTGCAGCTGTTGTACCACGTAAGATTGTGCAGCCACACATAATAATAGGGTAAAGTAGTAATTTTGGGAAGAAAGATAATTTTTACAGGATTTATACCTCCAAAATAGGAGGTGCTAGTACTTGTTGCACTAAAAACTAGGATACAACTGTACCCAATAATTTTTCTCATTTCCAATCATGTTCACTTTCATAAACTTAAATCGTTTTTTTTCCGTAAAAGATAAACTTAAATCTGATTCAAAAACATATATATTCATTTCGACAACATTTCATTATATAATTTTATTTTTATAAGTTAACATTTCATAACACACCTTTACTTTCAATTTATTGAAATTAATAACTTTCAGTACTATCAATTTTAAATTTTGACATTAGAAAAAGGTAATTGAATACAGAGCTATTTTGTTATACAAAGAGTAAGATCTTTCCAATTACCAATAATACCCGTACATAAGATTTTAAATCATCTATTGTAATTAACTTCATTTATTTTCTTCCTTCTTTAATAAATGGTATTGCTAAACGCATCTTAATTTTACTTAGACCAAAATACCCCTATAAAGTTGTACGAAGTAAAATCAAGTTGTGCAAAATAAAATTAAGTTGTAATTAGAAATACCTGTTTTTCTCTTACTTTCAATGCGTTCTAGATTGACAACCTGCAAGGGTACTATGCCCATTTTTAACGCATGTCCCTCACAGAAAACGTCCGACAAACAACTTCCATTCTTGGTTAAGAGCTCAACAAACAAATTTCATTTTTCCATCTAAAAAAAAATTTTTAAAAATCATTGATCTTTAACCAAGCAACAAAGCATTCTGTTCTCCCTAACATCAAAGCCACCAATCGCATGAAAAAAATGAAAAAAAAATAATGATCGTACAAAAAGAAGAAAAGATCACCCATTTCACGGGAAAAAAAAGGCCACAAACCACCAATTAAACAAGAACAATAAAATTTAGTCTTGAATATTTTGCCAAAAAAAATATTAAAAGCCAAAAAAAAAAATTGCCAGAAATTCATAACATGAAAGCCGTCCGATCACACTAAAAACGAAAAAGAAAAACGATCACATGAAAAAGAGTCAAAATTCGCCCAAAAATTATTTCATTTTCTCCTTTTTCGCGTATTTTTTGGTTCTCCACAATTCTAAACCATCAACAATTATTAAATTTTTTACTCTATATTGAAACAATATGACGTGAAAATTCCTAGGCCATTATGGATTATTCCAAGTCATGATGATCACTACATTATTATGGTTATACATGACTTGAGTATCTTGAAAATAGTTCATTTAGCAAGTGTTGATATCAAAGATGATGGAAGATTGAAACCAAAGTTAGGCGTGCTTAAATCAAGTTGGCGGAACAACGCGACCACCATGCTAAAAACATTGATCATATTCGAGCTCAAGAAGAATCCCAAAAGGTGGACAAAGTTCCTTGGTAATTTATTTAATCTTGGAAAGTGTTGAAGTTCATCCGTGCGTCGGGCAGCTCGTCGAGTGGCAAGGAAAGTCGACAACAAGCATAGGGATTCCATCAAGCTTTGCGTCGGCCAACAGCCAAGTCGATAGTGGGTCGTCGAGCTTTGTGTCAGTCAGCAACCAAGTCGACAAGGGGTCGTCGAGCTTTGCGGTGGCCAGCAACCAAGTCGACGGCAGAATTTTCACTTTTTGGAAATTCCCTGTTTTGATTTAAATTTGCTTTTAATTTGTTTCCTTTTATATATTTTGACCAAAACAGAATAAAATAGGTAATTTCTTGTCTTTTAATAAATGCTAAATAATTGTGACATGTATAATTATTTAATTAGGAGATATTTTTCTTTTAGGAAATTTCTAGTCTAAGAAATCTTAGTTAGAGTTCTAATAGGATTAGTACTCTTATTGGCCAACCTAAAGCCCTATAAATGGGGGTCTCGGCCGTGATTTTATATGTCTTTGATAAATTATTATTCAATACAAACTTGTGAGAAAAACTCCTTGTTTCTTGACCTTTTGAGGTTATTCGGCTTTTGCAATAACTAGGGTTTTGCATAAAGTAGCGAATGTGCATCCAAGAGTAGTGTCCTTGTTTGTGGAGTTCTTTAGGTGTCATTGTAAGGGAGCATATCTATCCATCGTTGTCATAATCTTTAGGCGGGGGTTGTTAGAGTTGTTACTCTTGGGGTTACATCAACATCACCTTCTTCCTTTCCTATCATTCCATCCTTTTGTTTCGGCTTTTTGTGGTCCAATTCTTCCTTTTGGTCGAGGTGAGATGATTGAATTACCTCAAATGCGGAAGTTATGAATTTCCCAAGAGTTGATAACTTCCGACAACAATGGAGAATACTCCAAATCACGCGAGAAAGAGAAGAAGAAAAGAAGAAGAATGATGCAAACCACAAAAATTTTTGCACAAAAAAAAATAGAAGATTCGAAAGATGAATAATTGTGTTTTGGTTAGCAACCCAATCGGTTTCCTATCTAACAACCATATCCCTTCTATTTATGGATAGAACAGCTAGCGAAAAGACTCCAATGAACAAACTAACAAAACTCCACATGTGAATCACATTTAAAATCATGCGCAAGCGTCAACAAAGCACAAACAATTATGCAATGCACTAATCTTCGAAAAGAATAGAAAAAGAACAAAGAGTTTTCTCTCGTCTCGTATTGAAATATGAATAATCATCAAAAGTATATTATATCATCTCAATGCCACGACCAAAGGCCCCATTTATAGGCCAAGGAAGGGTCTAGGTCAGACAAAGAGGAAGAGAAATCCGATTACAACTCTTATTCGGATTTCTTGGACTAGAAGTTTCTTTAAAACTTAAATATTAAGAAATAATTAAGTAATTGCACATGTCATAATTATTTAATATTAAAATTATCCTAGTCTAAGGGTAAAAATGTGTAAGGGCCGAAATTAAAGTGGAAAATTCAAAACCCAACACAATTAGGAAACAAAACCTAGTCTAGAAAGGAAAACATAGTAAAATATAATTTCTCTTGAATAAAAATTCCGATTCCCGTCCACCCCCTCGGAAAACCTTCTTAGAATCTGACATGACATGTGGAAGGACGAAAATCTTGTAAAACTTCAAGAAAAATTGTAACAAACCCGTTAGTTTGCTTTCGTCAGCTTCGGCGTCGGCCGACAGAAAACTCGACGCTGACTATCGACCATCCCATCGACTTCCTTTGCTCGGCAATGACCTCGACGATTCCTTGTTGACTTCTTTGTTGATTTCTTCTTCTAGGCTAAAATATTGACGCGCACGTTGTCGGCTTTCTTGTCCACATCATATGCTTGGCCATCATGTCGACGTGAACTTGTTGACTTTATTGTCGACTTGATTCTAACTTGACCTGTACCATATTTTTGCTTCAATCTTCCATCATCCCTAATTCTAACCTCAATATTATACCATACACCCCCTATGTGATCACAATCAATTTAATGATCATCATAGTTAGGTATGACACTCAGCGTGCCATCCAGGATCGCATCATTCCCCCTTCCTCGAAACGATTCTTCCTCGAATCGTGCTTCATGTAATTTCCAAAGAAAAAATTCTTCATGGTCTTCTTATGATGCTTCACATACCTCCATCGATCATCAAGTATCCAAAATTTTGAGAATTATTGGAGATCCAAAACTTCTTGTGAGAAGGTATCATCAAACACAAAATCTATGTGTTCAATTTCTTCGAATAATGGTAAATCATTCGACTTCTCTTCATCAACAACATCAAGATGTAAAATATTGGAAATCAATGATATGGAATTATTTTCTTCAACAACACTTTCATCGTGTGGATAAGAAATAGAAACAATGAAAGAATTTATGTTATTAGAAAAATTTTCTTCCAAACCAAATCTTGGATCTTTTGCTCGAACTCATGTTACCACTCTTCACATTCTTTCTTCTCTTCCTCTGCCGCAACATGTTGTAATCTGAGCTCTTCCTCCTTGGCATATTGTTGGAAAGAAGATTCCATTTTCTTTGTCGACTCTACAATCCTTTGCATTTGAATTTGATTGTTGCATGATCTCTTGAGATTTTAAGATCACTTTGAAAGAATTATATTTTTGTGTATATTACCGGTTGTACATTGAGATATTTATATACAAGGATACATAAAACCCTAGCCGACTATTCCGGAAACCCTAATTTGGTTTCCTTAATTACATACTCTATCATCCCCCCGCAATCGTAGTAGGATGAGGAATCATGCCTAGATTGGTTCTAAACAAATAGAATTTATCTTTAGCTAATGACTTGGTGAAAATATCTGCAAGTTGAGATTGTGTGAGGATATGACGAACAACAAGAAGACCAGCAGC